AAGGTGGCCATACACTCTACAACCATCGCAAGACTTTAGTCTTGCGATGGTTGTACAGGGATTAAAAAAACGTACGATCTGCCTATCTTGGACAGGCAGATCGCACTCTCGATCATCGCAAGCCCGCCCCCCTGAGGGGCGGGCTTCCGATGACCGCAATGCTGAACGGGCAGCGTGCGCACACCGGCCCGCTCGGCATTTGTCTTCCGAGCACCGTTCTAACCAGCCGAGAATCGTACGATTCCCGGCTGGTTTTCGAACATGCTGGTTCGACAGAAGACGTGCGACCGTACAGTAGAAACGGTCCCACGTCTCCGTTCACACTGCTCGATTATCGTACGAAAAACCGATCGCATACGATTATCGTACGATAATCGTGCAGTGTATGGGCACCTTTACAACCCTCGCCGTTTGTCTTGCGAGGGTTGTAAGGTAATTAAAAAAACGTACGATCTGCCTATCTTGGACAGGCAGACAATACTTGCGATAATCGCAAGCCCGCCCCACTGAGGGGTGGGCTTCCGATGACCGCAACGCTGCGTTTGCGCACACCGGCCCGTGCGGCTTTTATCTTGCGAATATGTCACAAACCAGCCGAAAATCGTACGATGTTCGGCTGGTTTTCGAACATGTTCCTAAGATAAAAGTCGTGAGACCGTACAGTAGCAGAGGTCGCACGCCTTCCATACACCTTACGATAATCGTACGATGGCGGGATTTCCCGCGATTATCGTACGATTATCACAAGGTGTGTGGGCACCTTACCAGGAGATGCAGGAAATCCAATGATCAGTTCTGCCGCACATCACGGCAATGCTATGCGATCGCAATGTGGCAGATAGCGGGACAGGTTCACTATGACACCCCATTCACACTGAGCGACATGGATACTGCACGTTTTTTCAGCGGCTAGGAGCTGCATTGCGCGATATTGAGCGACATTGCACATTTTATCGCGCAACGTATCGTGTTTTTTGGGTGGGACTCGGTCGCTGCTACATTGGGCTGTAACCAATCAACAGCGATCTTGATGTGACATCATTCTTTCCTTCCGTTTTGCAGTGCAAAAGTGACCCTTCTGTAGCGCGATATCGCGCAATATCGCCGGTAATGCGTGATTTTGCGCAACACTATAGAATCTATTGGAGCCGAATCACGCGACATCCGCGCAAAAAAGGGTCGTGTACGAGCGACAAGCTACAGCGACAAGCTACAGGCGACATTGACCTTTGAGATGTGATCAGCTCCATTGAAATGCATCGGACGAGCTACATAGAGCGATATCGCACGGAAATATGCGCGATTTTGCGGCGGAAATCGCGCCATTAACCGCTCAGTGTGATCGGGGCCTAAGGTTTCATCTTCATTCATAGCATTGTGACAGAATAAAACAGGCCCCCGACCACTTCTACATGATGCGCCTGTTTGGAGTGAAATTCTATCCGCTCACACTGTTGTGCCTTCATTTGACCGCAATTTTGGTGCATTCGCATGCACGCTTTTCATGTTTTTTTCCTACATTTGTCAGCCGTTTATTGTGCGTTGCCATTAAAGTCGCTTTGGTGTTTTGTGTTTAAAAAAAAAACAACAATCCTGTAGTATTTGTCCCAGACAAACGGCAGCGCAACCCACAGGTGTGAACGGACCCCACAGAAAACAATGGTAATCCTCTTGTTCTGCGTTGTTGCACTTTGATGTGCAACAACGCAGGATAATAATATGTGCAAATGTGTGTTAAATCGCACAGGTGTGAGCGGGGCCTGGTACACTAGCTGCATGCGTTTTTTATTGTTTTACTGTGTATTGCAATTTTTGTTTTCCTCAGTGACAGTGAAATAAAGTAGAGGTTGTCATTTAGGGGGTGGGGTCCTTGATGCCATGCAGTAAAATGCTCACATGTCCATGTTACATGCATTTTTCATGCACTTCCTTTAAGTCTATGGATCCAACGCACTAACAGAAGCACCTGCGCCATTTTCCACGGTGCACAGAAGTGTGTTCCAATAGGTGTGAATGGGGCCCCATAGAAAAGAATGGGATTCCTTCGGTGGTGCATTGTCACGTGACAACTGGAGGACGTGAAGACTTGTGTGTGTGTGCCGTGTGTGTCTGCTGTGTGCCAGCTGTGTGTGTGCCGTGTGTGTCTGCTGTGTGCCAGCTGTGTGTGTGCCGTGTGAGTGTGTGTGCCGTGTGTGTCTGCTGTGTGCCAGCTGTGTGTGTGCCGTGTGTGTGTGTGTGCCGTGTGTGTCTGCTGTGTGCCAGCTGTGTGTGTGCCGTGTGTGTGTGCCGTGTGTGTCTGCTGTGTGCCAGCTGTGTGTGTGCCGTGTCTGTGTGCCAGCTGTGTGTGTGTGTGGGGGGGTTGTTTGCTTCGCGTTTACGTTCCTTTTAAACTTAATTGAACTATCAAAGGGACATTCATCGCTATGCACCGCAACAGACGGTGATGTTGGGTGAGCTCTGGTGCGTTGCAGAAAAATACATGTCTGCCGAGTCCCGCTACACGCGGCCTCCCACCTGAAGGCAGCATTGCAGCGTGAACGGGGCACATGGAAAACAATTGTTTGCATTGATCAAGTGCAGAAAAAAACGCAGATCGCCGCACACGGTGCGAACGAGCCCTCAATGCTAAATCTGTCCCAGAACTGTGCACATCACAGGGGTCACCGACACGCAGGAAATGTGCGTTGTGCTGTGAGGCATTGGTGTGTTAGGGTGCCATTCAAAATAAACGGCGATGCACGGTACCGTGATTTGTGCTTTTCGAGCGTTGCACAATGGTGTTTTCAGTAACAGTTGGGTTGATATCAGTAACATTGTTACTTTTACTTGTATGTTATTGGCTGTGTTTGTCACAAGTCAGCGCACAGTTCGGCTCTAAGGGCCACATTGGCACCCACAGCGTGATAACGCACATCATGAAGAATGCCGTTACACCCGATGACGCAGGTTACTTTGTTGCCTGACACTCAAAAGTGTACATGAGCGTTTTTAGGATGGCATTGCATTCTTTTGGCCCCAGAGACTTCATTGGGAGTGCCTGAAAAACACATGATAAATGCTTGCAACGTGCGTTTTTCCTGTGATTTTGTGACTAACAACGTTCCCCTCCTCTCAGCTTTAAAACAAATGTCACCTAAATCACCTAAAAACGCAGAAGCATCAATGAGGGCTAAAAACGCATTCAAATAGTTAACAATGCACTCTAGGAAGCTCTTCACATCAGTTCTTTGCGTTGGAGGTCCGTCCATTGTGGTTTTCTTGTAATTCCACCTTACATTGTATTCAATGGCACCTCATGGAAAACACATCAACGATGCACCATGCCCTTTAATAAGTGCGTTCTTCTAAGTCATGCGCCCATATTTCCTGGTTGCTTGGGATGCAAAATGCATCTTGCATTGCATAACATTAGATAGAAAATGAGCCAAAAACATATTTTGCGCTTTGAGTAAAGCCCATGTGCATTTTCTGATGCAGGGGTGTGAACGGGCCGTCAGCACGTCGTTTCAGTCACATGGATTTATTTCTGAGACACGTAATAAACGCATCGAGATTCAACAAATGCATTTTGGATACATTCTCCAAGCCAATGAATCTGAATCAGTGGCATAACAATCGCCATAACAACCCAGGCGGCCGCTATTGG